ATTTTGTTTTCTTTGAATTTTAACTTAATTGGAAATATATGCTTCCTCCAAAGTCCCTTACTCTGGGAGTAAAAAGCCCAGTTATTGATGCTTTAGAATCATATACTGAGAGAGCTGAAAGAGATCTCTGTGAGTAAAGTATAGCATTTCATTTTACAAATAAGTGCATAGAGCCTAGGGAGGGGAGGTGACTTTTCCAAGATGACATAGACATTGGAGGTGGAACCTGTACCCCAGGCTCCTAACCAGGGATCCTGCATCTTTACTAAGATGTTTTGTTCAGTAAATACTTAACCTATGGATAGATTGAGTGTCATTAGAAGCATTCGTTTAAAATCAGCTCAAAACATGCCCATGCAGGTACCACTCACTGAAGAATATCACAAATGCTTTAGCTTCTAAAAAGCTCTAGATTCCCTGAGGATTGAAGATGCCTTTGAATCACCAGTTACATTCTATTTTTATTGGCAGGCTGGATCTAGGAGTTAACCTTTCAGGATCTCTGACCTCTAACACTTTTCCTTCAGTTTTGAAGTTCTTTTTTGAATCAAAGAGGTTTCCTGGAAGCAGCATAGCCAAGTGGGGAGATTATGAGGTCCAGGGATAGGACACCTGAGTTCCAGTCTGGGCCCTTTAGAGTACATGTTATGTAGCCTCGAAAGAATGGCTTACCTTTTCTGGCCCTCAGCACTCCCCATAGAAAATTGAGGTTTATCATGTGACTGAATGGTTGTGAGAACTATATCATATGAGACAGGAAAATGCTTAGGAAGAATGAAATGTTTGTTCAACAACTACTTCTTTGACGTCTGCCATGATCCAGGCTCTTTGTCAGGCACAGGAATACCAACATGAATAAGATAGCGTCCTAGCTCTTGAGGAATTCATGGTCCAATGGTGAAGCGGACTCAATAATTGCCACATCTTGTGCTGTAGCCACTTTGCTGGGGGAGCAACAGATGCTATGGGAGCAGAGGAAAAGCACCTACCCCTCATGTGCAGGGAGTGAACGTCCTCCTCTACTTCCTGGAGGAGCTGATATTTAAGTTTAGACAATTGCAGCAGTGCTACCATTATCACCACTTCACTGTCATCGATGGCTATCATTTGTTCAATGTTTATGTTTTTCTGATAATTCTGCTGGTCCACTTACAGACACGTATGTTCATGTATGCAATCCAGAAAGTCAGAGTGGTTATCCTCTTTATACCTATGATAAAACAGAAGCCTAGAGGTGCATTTCAAAAAAAGAAATTTAAAAACGATCACACAGCTGGTAAGGAACACAGCCAGAACTTAAACATAACTGTAAGTCCCAAAGCCGCTGGTCCCCGCAGTATAACCCTGTTGTTCTGTGCAACTCCATGGGGCAAGACTGAGAAGGATGGAGGAAGTGACTGGGAGACACATTCAGCTAAAAAGGAAAAAAGAATTTTCTAATGGAAGATTCAAGAATGAGATAAGCTAACTGGAAAGGTAGTGAGTTTTAGGTCATAGAGGTGTCCTAGAGCAAGCTGGTGACCTGCCCAAGACAGTGCTGAGGACATTCCTATTTGGGGGCAGAGGAGAGGCACATAAGTAAGCACGTCTAAGGATACAGTTGTTTTATGATTACGTCCTGTTGGCAAGGGTAATATACCTTTCTAAATATTTAGATGCTCAGTGAGGGCTGGAAAAGCTCTGTAAGCACAGCAGCCAGACCAATGATTCCCTCTGTTTGTTGAGCAGTCATTGGGAAGTGGACAATATAGGGGCATGCCAGAAATTTCCATGAATTATTTCATAGGGCCGTCTGATTAGGGATGCCTTCAGCTAAAGTTAACAAGGACTGACTCTAGCCACTTAAGCAAAAAGGGAATTTATACGAAGGGGCTTACAGAATCACGTAAAAACTGGTAGCCAGACTTGAAAACCAGAGCAATTAACTGAGCAGCTCTGAAGAGTCAGAATACTCTGCCTCTGTTCCACAGTAGCACTGCTGCACAGCACTCCCTGCTGCCTCACATCACCCAGTCCCAAGTTTACGTCCTGGGCAGGAGTGGCTGGTGCCTGAGCCCGGATTTCCTATTGCTGCCATGGCTGCCGGGGAACAAAGAGGTAGAATCTGGCTGGCTTCCAGGCAGGGAGATAGGGCACAATCACGGCCTCATCTTGTAATGATGAGGAGCAAACTCACCCCACCCAATCCCCCATCTAGTAACAGTGTTAGATGCTGAGCATTCCCCAAAGAACATGAACAAATGCCTCCTACACTTGGGAGGGAACAGAGCATGGATTTGAACTCAGATCTGCCTAATTCCAGACTCAAGGAAGAGAAGAGGTCATCCCTGACCACTGCTGCCCATTCCAGCATCCTATGGACTGTAAAACTATTAGTCCATGCCATTCACATAGGACATAGCATAAAATAATAATACAGTACAATAAAAACAACAATACAGCATTTTTGAGTTACTATTATGTACCAAAACCTGTGCATTAGCTCATTTAATACTCACAATATTATCCTGCATTATAAATCGATATAAACCTGTAAGCTTATCTTCTTCCTCCTGCTGGATTATACATTTCTTGAGGTTAGAGAACATCTCTTATCAATCACTCTATCCCAGCAACACTACCATGGAGCTTGGTGTGTAGAAGGTTCTTAATAAAACTGTGATGAATTGCTATATTTAACTCTTGCCTCATCCTTGTTCCCTAAACCAGTCTCTCCTCCTTAATTTACTCATACATTCTCAAAAGCAGACAGCTTGCTTAAACTGTTTGTTCCCTGGAAGAACATAGACATTAAAGCTGGACAGTCCTGGGTTTGAAGCCTGCTCCTCCATATGCTGGCCAAATTACCCTGAGCAGGTTTCAGATGAGTGTGGCTGTGAGGCGCTCTCTGTCTGTCCTTAATCACTTTCATGAGTAGCAATACTTCAGATAAGAATATTTAAGAACTGCATGCATATGTCTGTAGATCAAGGCACTAGTCACAGCAATGAATGTTTCCTTTCTGAAAGACAATCTAGTGTAGTCCGGGGAGAGCAGAGTAAGGAGAGCAATTGGTAAGATTTTGGACTCTGAGAATCAGGTTAACCTGAGCTCAAATTCTAACTCCATTACATAGTAGCTCAGTGACCTTAGAGAAAGTTATTTACATTTTCTAAGCCTTTGTTTTCTCCTCTGTAAAATGGTAATACAGGGCTTGTATGAGATAAAAGCGAAAATGAAATGAGATAATTCGTGTAAAGTCACATAGTAAGCACTTCTTAAATGTTAACTACTGCTGCACTTACCACTATAAGCTCAGAAAGAAAAGATGGCAGGAACTACATCAAAGGCTAACAGGAGTTATATTTGAGTGACAGGAAGGTGATGTTACTTTTTTTCTTTTTTGCTTTCTATGTTGAGGACCATTTTTCATTTGTAATAGTGATTTTATAGTCAGTCAATCCTCTTATCAAGCAATTCGACTTCTGGAAACTGTTCTAAGAAAAAAATTCTGAAATGTGGAGAAAACTTTAGGGATCAGAGTATTCATCAGTGCATTTTGAAAATAGTGCAGCATTGAAAACAAAATAAATGTGCCACAGTGGGGAAATGGCTAAATGAATTATGGGGGTTCATATAATGGGATAATATGTCATATTATAACACTATTACAATGCTAGTTACAAAGAGTTTACTAACAAAGAAAAATGCTCACGTTGTAATGGCAAATGAAAACGGGACCCCTTTGCAAGTTCAAGGTCAGGAGGTAACTTGCTGGCCTAGAAGGTGAGCATCAGTGATCCCCTCTGTTTAAAGCACAGAGAATGGTTGATATCTAGGCATCACTGCTCTTATGGAAATCCTGGAACACAGAGAACATTTCTTTGTGCGCTCCTCTCCACTGAGGATGTGGGGTAGGAAGAGTGCAGTCCATGATGAAAGAGGTTCTTGAAAAGCTTGTGGTCCATTTGTGGAAGCTCCTTCTCTACTTGTAGCTGGGGGAAATTTAGGCCTTGAGAGAACAAGGGACTTGCCCAGGGTCACATAGTACACCATCAGCAGAGCAGGGGACCTGAACTCAGTGATATCTCCTCTGCATACCCTGGGGGCATTATCCCACACTCACGAGGGATGGACTTGCCAGAGAGGCTAGGCAAGACGCTAGTGAAAATCTGAATGTGGAGCAAAAGGATGTTCCTGGAAGTTTCCACATTATTCTCCTCTGGTTCTCACTGAGACAAAAGTAGCATAGTGATAAGAAATGGGGTTCTCCCAGTCCCTCCAGGGGCATTGAGGAAAGAGACATTTGAAAACAGAAGGCTTATGTCCTGGTCTCCTCAAATCCACACATGCAACTGGCTCTCAGGCTCAGCAAAGGAATGGAAAGAACATAACCCTATGTAACTGGAGAACTTGAATCCAAGTCCAAGTCTAAAATTTCTGGAAATCTCCAGTCTTCTGCTGTACACTGTCAGGGGAGGTGAGGTGGGAGGAGACAAGAAGAAGACAAGAAGACCAGGTAAAATATGATTACAATTCTCTGGGCCTTGGCCCACACTTAAGGTGATACCAGAGGAAGTGGTAAAAAGGTGTTGGGTTATGGTGTATTTTGAAGGTAGAGACAATGGATTAGCTATAGGTGTGAGCAAAGAGGCATAATGGGAACACCAGTAGTTTTGGCCTGAGCATTTTTCTCAGCTGCAGTGTGGAGATGTGCATATGTGTCTATGGGTCATGTGTCTATGGATGCTGACATGAGGCTACACCACAGAAATACTTTGGAATCTCTCTGTGACTCAGTTTCTTCCTCTGTAAAGTGGGAATTGCAATAGTAGTGACCTCACAGGGTTGTTGATGGCACTGAATGGATTAACTCATATAAAGTACTTAGAACTGTCTCTAGAAAATGATAAATGCTATGTAAGTGACATAATCACTGCTCCTACTCCTAAGCATATTTTGACAAGTGAGAAGCTCAGCTTGTCCTGTCTATATTGACTCTTACTTTGGGTACTGCCTAGGTGTTCTCTGATGGGGTTTGATCTGAATCGTCACTGGCTGGATCCCTCTCCATGGGTCCACCCTACCCTGCATGGAGTGAAACAACTCATCATCCAGATGTACAACGACCCAGTAAGTAACTGAATGCCCTCCACAGCTGCTGATCTATGGCTTGATCTGGGAAAGGGAAGCGTTGTATTGGGAAAGTCCACTAGAAGTTGCAAATTAGGAATACGTAGCTAAAACCAGGGAGGCACTAGGCCTGCTCTTCTCTGAGTCCAACAGACCCAAGGACCTTCTCCCAATCTCTTTTCCTGCAACCTCTTACAAATAGTGGATTCAGTTGTGGAGGCTTGGTGGGTTAAAGGAAATATATTGGAGTGTATCCATATTTGTCAAGGATCTTTGGTTACAAGCTAAAGAAATACAACTTGAATTAGTATAAGCAAAGTAGAGAATGTATTAGAAGAATACCAAGGGCATGTCATGCAATTGAAGACTGTAAACTGGCTTCTTCTACACATTGGGAACATGACTGATGAGTGTCACATCCAAAGGTTCTCAACACTACAGTAACTTATGCTCATTTTCCAGTTCCAGTTCCAAAAGGATTGTGATTGACCTAGTTGGGAGGACGTGCCCACTTCTGGGCAAGTCAGTTCTGGCTTGGGAGAAAGAATATGCAAGGACAAGGCAGCCTCTCTGGAACCACATGGTTGGAGTTGGAGGGTGGGTTGGTACCTGTTTTCAGAAAAGAGGGTCTACCATTTCAGAAGAAAGAAGGGGACATAGGCAGATAGAGCAATGGGTATCCACACCAAGTTTGCTCCCTGGGGCAAGTTCTTGTTTGTAAGAAATAGGAGAAGACAGCAGAGTTTCATAGCTTAGAGAAATGAAGCAAACTACAGTATTCTGTCTCTAAAGAGCTATCGCAGAATGGGTGGGACAGACCTTTTTTTCAGGTTGGGGATATGGGAAGAGGTAGAGAAATAGAACTTTTTAATGACTATAGCTGCTTGAGAATGGAGTGTGTGTGTGTGAGCTGTGAGCTTTGCTTTACTAAAAGTGTTCAACTTTTAGTCATGTGTCACTAAAAGTGTTCAACTACGACTATAGCTGCTTGAGAACTTTGAGTGTGTGTGTGTGTGAGCCGAGTTTGCCTTCTTTTACCAAAAGTGAAGTTCAACTTATTACAGGTTGGCTGTTTGCTAAAGTACTCCAACTCCTTGGTCTGTAAGATGCATGAGAGGAACTTCAATCATAAAAGCAATTACTAAAAGTGTTCAACTTTTAGTCATGTGTCACTAAAAGTGTTCAACTTTTAGTCCAAAAGGATGCACAGAGGAAACTCAACTGTTGGAAGACATTCTAGTGAAATTCCATTTGAGTCCCTTCCAACTTCAGTGACAGATTTTTATGGCCCATGACTGCTGTCAGGTGAGAGATGGTGATTGCTAAGACAACAAAGGTCACACAGTTGGGGTACTTCAGAGATGCACCAATGTAACCCATTCTGCTTACCCTCATTGAGGATCCCAGTGAAAATTTCCTGAATTAAAGAGCAACACAGGTATTGATCAGATTAAGCATTTGTGCTTCAAAACAAATGCATATATTAGAGCAGGGATTAATGAAAAAGTCAGTCCTGAGGTGCAATGTAATTTTCTTGGCTATGAAACTCAACTGTTATCTTGGTCCTCCTATGTGAATTTTGCTTTCCTAGGTCCTTTCACAGTATACCTTTTGTGTCACGGCTTGCATAACCGTAACTCTAGGATATTTGCCTCCTTCCCCAGCTCATCCTTCTTTGTCTATAAAAGAAGGTGTGAACTGTGCTCACCAAATCCATATGCAGAGATAGAATGATTATGGTTTGCTGCCTTTCTCTAAGCTTTGAAACCCCACTGTCTTCTAGTTCTTACAGACACGAACTTGCCCCTGACCTCTCAATGTCATCCTGATCAGCTTTCCTTGCAGAGAGAAGCTGCTTCTGATTTTCTCAGGAAGTATCTGTAGTCTGCAGAATTCTGCCCTCCCAGGCTTCTGTGTTGACTGCAGTTTCCCTGATAGAATCGCAATACTTCCTTCTCAAGGAGAACAAGCTCCTACATTTTTTTTCCTGATTTGGCTGATAATAGATATTCAATAACTGCATGTTGAGTTAAATTGGATTGAACACAGAAAATCCTATTATGCCAAATGCAATATGGCTTATAGATGCAAAACAATTATTCCCAGGTAGGATGGTGAGGCACAGTGAAAAACAAACCAAAAAAAAAAAACATAAAAATGACATTGGACCAGAAAGAGTGACAGAGTGGAAACCATTGAACAAAGTGGTATTTAGATAAATCCCCAAAGAGAGAAATGGGAGTTTGGGGGCAGCCTGGGGGAGGAACACAAGGGAAGTAGGTTAGGGTTGCTACAGAGGAAAAGGCTTCAGCATGCCATTGCTGTCATTAATTATTGATTTACTCACAAACAACTGGGCGCTCGTTCATGCTGCAAAACACAGATCCAGCTGGAGTGAGTTACAGAGATGTTAGGAAATGATTTGCATCATGAATACATTGATCATCAGCTGGTTAGATCTTAGTAAGTACATCTTGGGCGCTGAGTTAGTTGTATAAGCAATTTTCTTACTGAAAGGCTACTCATTTATGCCTCAAGCAAGGGCGTGGAGCACTAATATAGGAGTCAAGCTGGCCTGGAAGAGGATCCCAGCTCCCTTGGTTCCTTCCTCTCTTCCCCACTCTCTCTTTCCTCACTCAATCTTTTACTCCACTTTTTCCTTTCTTCTTTACACAAATATTTATTTATATATGGGTTTTCTATGTGCACTGAGGTTCTAGTAGTGAAAAAGAAAAACCCCAACTCTTGCAATACAGTGGGGAAATAGACTTTAAACAAGTAAATACTGATAAATATATATTTATAAGATGTGTCAGGGGCTACCAAGAACAAAAGCACAAAGTATGACTTCTACGTAGAATGGTCATAAGTCTTGGCTTTCCTGGGGCAGTTCTGGTTTATACCTGTTGTCCTGGAGTATCTTTTAACAACGTCCTCTTTTCACTCTCAAAACTGTTCTGATTTGGATGATAAATTATACACTCTCTCTAGTTAAAAATGATGTGAGGCCACACGCGGTGGCTCACGCCTATAATCCCAGCACTTTGGGAAGCCAAGGCAGGCGGATCACCTGAGGTCAGGAGTTCAAGACCAGCCTGACCAACATGGCAAAACCCGGTCTTTACTAAAAACACACAAAAAAATTAGCCAGGTGTGGTGGCACATGCCTGTAATCCCAGCTATTCGGGGGGCTGAGGCAGGAGAATTGCCTAAACCTGGGAGACAGAGGTTGCAGTGCAACATTGTGCCACTGTACTCCAGCCTGAGCGACAGATCAAGACTCTGTCTCAAAAAACAATAATAATAATAATAATAATGCAAAAACACCTAGCACAGTGCTGGTGTGTAGCAGACCCTCAACAACCATTACCTGGATCTGATTTAAATTCACATTTGACTTCAGACATCTTTGTGCCCAGTTGCAAACACTGCAGTGCCCTGAGGCATCTGCCTTAACAGCTTTAAGTGCATTTCTGCTCCTGAACTTCAGTATCACATACATAGTCACTCAACCCTGAACTATCTGAACTGCCAGGACAACTTCTGAGCTTGTTTCTAAATGCACAGCCTCACTCCTACTGTCCAGATTGCCTTCTGCCCATAGAATCAACAAGCAGAGAATCAGCGAGACCCTCCAACATCAACTGTCATTCCTTCAGGCCCTGTGCTGGGTGCCGAGGAGTTCGCAGCCTGGTGGAGACAGACATTTACAGACAGTTACTCTAGATGCATTTATAGAGTGAAGCACAGGGGTTGTGGGAGCCCAACCCAGGAGGCAACACCTGAGCTGATACATGAGGGATGCTCAGGCCAGGGAGGACTTTCCAGGCAGAGGAAACAGCATGTGCACCTGCCCTGAGAGGGTGGGTGGCTTACTCAGGAGACTGGAAGTCATTCAGTGTGGCTGGTACCAGGGGCAGACAGAAGGGGTAGTTGCGACACAGGGAGCAATCTGGACTTTATTTTCATGGGAATAGGCAGCCACTGAGGACTTTAAGCAGGGAATTAACAAATTAGGTTTGCATTTCAGAGAGACCCCTCTGGTGCTTGTTAGAAAAATAGATTTGGATGGTGCCAAACTAGAGACTGTGAAACCATTACAGCTTGCTGCTGTGGAGTTGAAAAGGAACAAGAGGAGTCTAGCGGTAATAAGGAGCGAGACCTAAGGGACATGGTGACTGTGGCTGATGGGAGGGGAAGGAGTCTTGCATGATCCCTGTGGTTTTCACTTGGGTAGTCAAGTAGTGTGGCACTTTGCCTGAGATGGGAACCCAGGAGGAACAGTTAGTAAGGGCCAAGTGATGCATTCATCTTTAGAGGTGCTCAGTGTACAGTAGACCTGAAGTGATATGTCTGGCCTGCACTGGAAGGCTTCTGGAATGAGCCCTTCTGTGTGCTTCTAACCTGGCAACAGGAGCCTACTGTCCTTGTATTAGTGATGACATTGACTTCAAAGGCTGCTTTCCTAGCCCTGTGCTCACTAAAATCTTACCCCTCTTGGGGACATTGGGTATTAAATGATGATCTTGAAAACAAAGTGTTTAACCAGGAGGACTGCCCTGGACCTGAGATATAAAGTGTTTCATGCTCCACTCCCATGATAGGTCCCTGTGAATACTGTGGCCTGGCACCTGTTTGCCAGTTGTGATTGATTGTCCCCCCAGGGAAAGGGTCTGGTTAGCTCATCTCAGGGTCTCTGGTGTCCAGCAGAGACTGGACACCAGACGCTGAGCAAATGACGAAGCGAACCGAGAGCTTCTGTGACTTGGTTTTAGAAGACTTTCCTGATAAAAGGAAGAATTGAACCACAGACCCCTCCCCAATCTTCTTTCTCCCTCAGAATATCCCCTGATCCCACTGCCACCATCACTGTGCCCTCCTTTAATGAAGGCTCTGATCTGGTGACAGAGGTTTCCCTGCAACCTGCTGAGATTGTCCAACACTCCCAGGGATAGAACCTGAGATGGCATCACCCACTCCCATTCCCATGAGAGAGGATT